CATTTAATCTGATTTACCTGTGGGAGAGACTCAATGCTCTGTCCTCTCATCTTGACCACCGTCTCCGAGGAGCTGGAAGTTGACGAGCTGACGTCCTTTACGATGAGTCCTTGAATGAACACAAGAACAGGTTCAGGTTGGTTTCGGAGGGGAGACCTGATGGCCGTGTTCTGGGGCCGCCGCGTGGAGCAGACCCACTGAGCTCTACCTGAGTACCCGTTGCTCTGATCGGGGGACATGGTCAGCATGTCCTCCGTGATGTGGATACACAGCTCCTGGTCCAGGGCCATCTCGTGAAGCTCCTCGTAGTCTTTGGGGTCGTCCACGAGCATCTCGATCTCTGCGGGGACAAAAGATTTACACGGTCGGTTCGACTGTGAGGTGACTCGATCCAGTGGTTCAAACTGCCCATGGGCCCCCTTTTCGCCTACCGTCGTCGTCTAAGATGCGCTCCTTGCCGCTGCTCTCGATGCCGGAGGTGTGGGAGCTGCCGTGGCTGGTGGTGGAGGAGCTGCACGTGCGCAGGGCCCTGTGGGGGGCCTGCCCGGGGGCCCTGAAGCTGTCCGTCTCGATGCCGGAGGTGTGGGAGCTGCCGTGGCTGGTGGTGGAGTGGCGGGAGAGGCGTTTGTGGTGGGACATGCTGCCGGCGCTGCTGCCGCTGGCCCGGGAGCGCTTGTCCAGCTGCTCCATGTCCAGCTCCAGCGCGTCGCTGATGTAGGACTCCCGGTACTGCTTCTTCTCTGGGGGGGGCGGGAGGCACAGGCACGTCTTACCACTCAACCGGGAGCCCGAACATGTCACAGCGTTTTGTTTTTTTTCCCCCCTCGATCGGTACCTTCGTTTTCCTCCAGCCTGCGGACTTGTTTGAGCACGGGCTGCAGGTTCATGTAGAGCCGGTGGCTGTTGCTGAGCAGCTGCAGGAGGTGGCGCGAGCGCACGGGACAGCCCGTGTAGTAGATGAGTTTACGGGCTGATGGCAGGCCGTCGGGCAGGATCTCAAACTTCTTCCCCTGAGAGGACGGAGGGAGAAAAAGAAAAAGAAAAAGAGACAGTGCAGGTCTTATTGCTACGGGCCTCTGGGTGATTTACAGCAGTTAATATCAGCCGATTGTGACACTGGTATGTGGATCTGAGATTAGGATTAAATGCCAGAAAAGGCCTGAGGGGAAGCATTGGTGGGGGAGCAAAAAAAGCCTGCCCCTAAATCTATGCGTTTGTTGCCAAATGCAAAGCAACAATCAGTGTATCTGTTCTTCATTTCCTTTCTACAGAAACAGCATTTTTGGGCTGTTCTGATGACTTTCCAGGGAGAGGACATGTTGGCCCGCTGCTCGGAAAAAAAAGCAAAATGGAGGGGCTTGCGCTTTCTCCCCTGCTCCCTTTGGCTGCGGCTCGGTCTAACAACAGCTGTCTGTAGTGTCAGCAGGGTTTGTCTTCAACGCAAACCGCAAAACATTTCTGCATTTTAAAGCTAATTAAAGTGTTCTTTTTTCTTTTTTTTTGACCGCAGGGCCGGGTGCCGCTTCATTTATCCCGGGCCTTTTGCGAGGGAAGGAGCTGAATCTAAAGCAGGGGCATTCGGCGTCGCATTGTTGTGAAGTGAGTTCATAAAACCCGACCCGGTGGCTTTCCTTTAAAAGCCCTTTGCTCTGGACGGAGCCGTCCTCGAGGCAGTTAGATTAACAGCGGCTGTGGGGGAATGAAGCAAACTGAGCCTTTGGAGGCCTTCCCTGTCTTTGACATCAGAGAGAAGATACATGTGGGTTGTGTGTTTGGGTTTTAAGCCCATGTGTCAGTTCCAAGCTCCGTGTACGAAATGATTCTGAGTGGAGGAGGTGGAGGATTTGAAGCTCTGCATCTAGATCAGCGCTCCCCGCTGGCGTTAACTCTAGACAGGGGCACGCCAGTAGGCTGGTGTCAAGTGGTGGGATATTAAAAGCTTTTTCGGGGCCGCTTTAGGCCAGTTCACGTCTCATGCTACATGATCAGTGGCGGAATGAGCGTCCTCAACAGGCCACACACACTGAGAACTGGCTGTGTCACAGGGGAGCTGCTGGGCAACTGTCTGCCGCCTCCAAGCTGACTTCATTTCAACTTATAACAATAAAAATAAGAACTCACCCCTCCCTCCTTTAAACGCTCATACCAAAAATGATCTCAATTCATCCAAGAGACCAAAAGCCAGAACCTGAAATCCCCTAAAAAGTCAGCACAACATCTGCAGCTCATTGGCCCGCGAGTCCCTGGGCTCCCTCCGCTCTCCGGCCCCATCTGTTGGTGGCTGATGCGAGTCGTGGGTGGGGCCGAGGAGAAAGCCTGTTATTCAGCAGAAGGGTGGGGCCGGGGTGGCGTGGAGCCCTTCGGGTCCGCAGTCAAACCACAGCCACGCCAGCCCTCGCTCCCTCGCACAGCCCTCCAGACTCCAGGCGGAAAGAAACCGACGAAAACAAAACCAAAAAAACTGAAAGAGGGAAAAACGGGACGTCTGCGCGGGGAGCTGTGCAGCAGACACAACATCATCCAAACTCCCTAGGATCAAGACTTCTCACGTTTTGGGACAGTGAAATCCGTTTCTCTACTGACTTACAGGCTGTCATTTGAAACGAGGACTCCAAATTTAGGATCGTAAGGGGTTTGGTGAAGTGATAAGCGGTAATGATTTTCCTGGATAGCGATTAAAGGCCGACTGGCAGAAATCACGAGGGCGTCAGGGTGGCACAGACATAAAGTTAGCTTCTCTGCTTCCCAGTGATAAGGGAGAACTTATAGAATTAAGCGACTGCTGCGCTGAGATTAATGGCCAGCTGACACATGAGGAGATTTAACAGGATTTCCTTTAAGAGGCAAAGGCACATCAGAGATAATTAATAAAATTGATGGGTTTATCATTAAAAGAACGCAATCCTGTTGCTGATTGTATTAAGATACGCATGTGGTGTGCGCATGTGTGAAAAGCTCCGTGTTTCAAAAGCTACGATTGGTTCCAGAGGACTTGCGGGGTAAGATAAAACAGCAGCATGGAGTAAAGGAGCTCTGCGGTCCTGATCCAGAGCTCGGCTTCCGCAAACATCCCCGTAAGTCAGGGGACGAGCGGGTTTTACATTTGCTGGAGTTCATTAGAGAACAAAAGCAGCAACAGAAGTGCAGTGCCTATGGAGAAGACAAAAGAAGCTCCTCTGGGCTGTACGTTCTGATGCTTGCGTGTGACTCACCACAAATACCAGTTTTCCCACGTTGGTCCAGGGGAAGTCGTACAGCAGCTGCCTCACGGAGCCCACGTTCTGCAACACACAAGGGCAAGCATGTGACCAACACAAAGCGTGGCCATGCTCGAGCCGAGCACCACACCCATTTCACTCCTTTTAGCCAGGTATGAAATGGGTCAACACCACAAAATCCCAATGCCTGTGTGAGTTTGTCTGGGTGGCAAAGCTCTGCCCACTGCCTTTTCCTCTGTTTGTTAGCAGCCAGCTGAGCTGCAACGTCTCCTCATTATTGGCAACAACAACTTTACATTAAAATAACAAAAAAAAACAGGCTTGTGTGCAGCCACAAGTTTGACAAAGGGATTCAATTTGATGGATCAACCACAGTTTAAATGAATTAGTCAGGGCTAAATGTTCTGTTCTTATTAGCTGAAAAGACTTATTCTAATACAGCAGGCCATAAATCACTAAAACAGGGGATTCTGCGGCTTCTTATGTGAAAAAACAAGGAGGGAATGTTTGCATATAGGGGAAAATACTAAGTACATAGGACAACTATCCCACTCCAACAAAAGAAGTAAGAAACATGTACAAACTAAGTAAAGAGCCCTAGTCAGGGAGAATACATCTATCATTTGGCTCCAACTCGTTGCAGTAATCTTTAATAATAAAATGCTTTTTAAACCATTCAAACTTGCATTCATCTGAATCAATAGCTAGGTACCTGAAATATTTGGATTCCACGTAAAGTCAGTCCCAGTGTGAGAGACGCTTCAGTTTCCTTTTTGTCCTGTTGATAAAAATGGCAAACTCGGTTTAAGACAACTGACAAAACATTAGTATTAAATTCAGACTTCATCAACGCAACAGTGACACCGGCAGCAGTCCTCACCTTGTAAAGTTTGTAGTAGTGGACTGTGACATCATCCAGCTGGGCGCACTCCTTAATGTACTTGAGGTGTGCCTCTGAGGCCGTGAGAGCAAACTGGTCTTTGTGCATGTTGGGGATATGCCTCAGGATGTATTCACGGCCCCGTTTGGCAACCACCTGAGCAGGGGCAGACACAGAGCGGTCGCGTTAGCTGCCTTTAATGTGTGCAGGCAGGCCAGGCGGGGCAGACAGGTGCCGGCCTGGATGGGCTGAATAAGAACCAGATGCAGGATCCAGAAACACACCAGCTAGGGTTTGCGGGTTGCTTCTAAAGATTTTTGTACGTTGACCTTTTATGTGCCAGCTAAATCTGGGAGAGATTTACTTCGGGGCGGCATACATTGTCCAATTTCCAACAATTTCCTGTTACTGCTGGTTTCAGCTGTGATAAAGAGGCAGGAAGCTAATCACAGGAAGTGGAGGGCAATCAGTCGGGTGTGGCTGTCAGACGGGTGGTGGTGGTGGGCCTATGTGACTAGAATATCCACGTCAGCTGAAGCTGATTTTAAAAGATTTTTTAAAAAACAAACAAAAAAACATAACAGTGTGCCACTTCCGGGGGTAAAAATAAATTCCATGCCCCAGTTCTTCTTGTGCGCCGTGCTCTGATGTGGAGGTATGGCTAAGCGTTTGGCACAGCCTGATTAATGAAAGGTTGCTACAGACCCACACACTGTACACACCACAGGGCAGGTCGCCCAGCACTGTGTGACGCCCTCAAACTGCTCTGCTCTGGTCTGCGCTGAATGAAGCTGCTCCAGGACATTCACGGTGACTCACTGGTTCATGGTGACGGTGTTTACTACTTTTTTCCGCTGTAACATTTTTCAAATCATCATACAGTAGCAACTGATTTTGAATTATGAATGGCTCAATAATCAGAAGGTAGAGATAATCTAAAATACTCCTTTGTTTGTTAAAGAAAAGGTGTGAGGTCATTCAAAAAGAAAGTTAATGCGTACACCTCTTGGTGATGAGAATTCAAGCAGCAGTGATGTGGGGGAGAATATTAAAGACGTGTGAGTTCTGAGGGAGCCATGGAGTGAGAGCAGGGTGGTGGTCGTCTTAAATCAGCCCTTTTCTCTGATAAGTTTGATGTACAGCCCTGTGGACCACGTGCGGTGTGTGTTAGAATACTCACCCACGGGGGGAAGTAGTCCTCGGGTTCAAAGTACTTCCCAAAGTGCTTGTTGCGTTTGAAGTTTCCGAGGTCAGCCTGGAGAGCGAAGGCTGCGAGGAGGAAGTACGCCTCCTCTCTTTGGATGCACTGCGAGAGCAGCACCTGCTTCCTCAGGTGCCAGTAGTAGTAGTAGCGGGCCACCCGGTCGCTGTGAGGCACACAGGCAGCACGTCTAAACCTCGAAGGAGAGCTGGAGCTGAACTTGATCTCCAGAGCAAACAGATGAGGGGCTTTACTCACCTGATCAGCCTCCCGTTTTCCACATAATATTGAGCTCTGAAGTGAATGATCATTGGAGGCCCAAACTGGTCAATGCCCTAAAAAACACATGCAAGTAAAAGTGGCTGTTAAACTTCCGCAAACATCAACATTTTCAATCTAAAACATCTCATTGTAAAGTGAGTATTAGTGCACTGCTGCATGCTTATGGGGGCTTTCTAGCCTATTTATGTTTATCGCTGTCCGTCCTGCAAATCCACAGGTTCTAAACTCCTAAAAATCAGGCCATATGGAAGACCGGATGAAAAAGCCCAGACGCAGCGACCTCTTGCAGCAGCTGTTGTCACAGTGAGGCCACCAGGTGTGGCACAGAAACTCTAACCTGTGCACACCTACCTGACACTCTGCAAAGAAGTCTTTGTGTATCAAGTGGTGTTCTAAAGTTACAGGCGGCTCTGTGCAAATGTTTTAGGCATTCCAGGCCTCATTTTGGGCGCCACCTGACTGCTGATCGCACAGACTGTTTAAGTTTAGTCATTACCTCAGAGTAGTAACGGGAACTGGTTTGGACGCAGCACGAAGAAGCATGAAAGTGTGCGAATGCGTTTTATTGTGGACTATATTGCGATTTGAGATAATGATATTAGAAATGAATGGTGTCATGAGTCTGCGTGCTTGAATATCAAGGACAGCACAGACAATTACAATAATTTCAAGTATTTTTCAACTGAAAACATACAAATGTGACGTGAAAAAATATAAAACCTGAACTTAACAGTACTGTATTAAAGCTGGGTGGTCACCTGACCACACCTCCAGCTGCCCAGTGTGGCTGTGGCATCACCATGCTCCATTCCACATGGCAGACCGTCCCATTCATTGTAATATTTGTGCTGATATGCCTCTAATTTCATGTAGGCTATGTTCAATGTCTGTATTTTTCTAAATATTAGATAAAGATTTCTTTCTTTCTTTTGAAAAAAAAATAAAATCGCACATCACTGTCTTTTATGCGATTACATAATTGCACGGCATAACACCGCGCTACCTGGAGCTCTGTGTTGTTTTTCACCAACAGGAGGCACATCAGCTGTGGCTCAGGATGCAACCGTGTACATGATTCTCAAAGACTGAGGTCATGAGAAACCCTGAGAATGGGGTCTGTGCTTTCAGCTGTCCACCTGTGATCGGCTAACAGGTTAACGCATGGTGAAGAGGCCAGAGTCAGCCACACGAAAATGAGGCTGCTTAATCGGGATGAGAACATTGTGTGCCTCCTAAGAACGTTTTTTTGGTCAAATGCAGAAAGAGTTTAATATGTATTATATTCTGCACCGATCTGACATCAAAATGAATAAAAATCCTCCACATCCAGAAGCATTAAATGAATTCCATGGTGAATAAACATCTATTGGAATCTTACCTTGCTGGCTTCTCTCTTCCATTCTTTAGGGCAGTACTTGGACAGCTTCTGATCCAGCTCCATGTAGATGTGCTCATTATCTGCGGTAAAGACACAGCTTTAACTGTGGGGAAATCCTCTTTAAGTGCTCACTGATAAAAATCCTGCCTCGGGGCAAACACGTCAGACGGCCTCGGCAAATCCTTTAGAATTCTGAGCCTCTGATGCTCCTTCTCATTTTTCCATCTCTCTCTGAGATGGGTTTATCTTCTCCTGAAGTGAGCTGCAGCCTGCTGATCTGACAGCACTGAGTTTCTTTGTAATAGCAACCAGCTGAGAAGCAAACGGTGCATAGAGAGCAGGACTTTCTGATGGAACACTGACATATTATTTCTGGAATGACGGCTTGGACTTTTTGCTTCCATATTGTGAAAGTGAACGTATTGACCTGAAATCTATTTGAAGGCATTTCTAAAAAAATATGCAGTTGATTAAATAAGGCAACTGCGAACATCTGCAATGCTGGAGTCAAATCAAACATTTTGTAAGGATTCAAACTTTGCCCTCCGTAAAAATGAAGGAAAAAAAAGCAGAAGAAAACCTGTTCCTTGCATTAGACATATGACTTGTTTATGAATGTTTTGGAATCCACTCTAAGAAACATCACAACCTGGATATGGTGGAGAGGCTCTGGTCAGGAGGACACAGCGTAATGCTGTGGGAGTGGGTGGCCTCTGTTTGCCTTGGGGATTTCACGCTGTTCAGACAAGCACTCCAGGAATGTCCCACAATCAGACCCATTGGCTCCTGCTCCTCTGACCTGCTGTGTCACTATTGGCTCATCTGGAGACCAGTGGCCAGAAAGCACTGCCTTTACACTTCCCTCTGCCCTGGCAGCTGCCTGCAGCCGTCACCTGTTGGCCGCCCGGCCGCAGCCCAGACACGGTGACTCATTCCAGAGGAACGACTCTCCTCCAAAAACAATTTAAGCCTTCCCACACAATGGGAGGCGGTCGTGACGAGCCGGAGGCTCTCAAGGACTGTCACAACAGGCGCTTTGCGAGAGGCTGCGTTTGGGATGGATTCCTGTTCCTCAGCAAAGTTACTGCTTTTAATATTAAACTCCAATTGATAACCGTGGGTGGTGTTTAACAAATAGGGCAGGGGGCTTACTCTGAATGACGCTGAGCCCAAAGAGATGACAGTCTTTCAGCCTCAGGAGGTCACACACCTGGACCAACAATTCCTGGCACAGAGTCTTCACCTGAGGGGGAGATTTCGGGGGATATGTTGTTATTTAAGACATAACCAAAGGAGGCACACACGTTGTACAGTTATGTCATGATTTCGCTTATTTATTCAACTGAATAAATAGCTTGTTAACTCACGTTGACGATGATATTGAGAGTGTCGTCGTTGGGCAAAAAAACACAGACACAGCGGCGGTCCTGCATGGTTTTGTTGTTGTGGAAGTTCAGTTTGTTCATCTTCGTGTGGCTAAGACAGAACAGGCCTTTCCGCCTGCTGCAGGGGCTCTGGGCCCTTGGACGACCCGCCTCCGCCGCCGCCCCGTCACCGTGGTTCTGCTTCAGCTGCAGCCGACTACAGACGCGACCGTGGGCTCAGCGGGCCAAGCAGCACTCGCAGGAGTGGGCATGGGGACCCACGCTTCAAGTCAACCACTGTGGAGATACACACAGGGAGGGAGGGAGGGAGGGAGGGGGGGATTAGTGCATCCTGCTGTAAGACAGTGTGTGGACTATAAAGATGTGTGCTGCGATGGAAAATATGAACTGGAGTCAGGGCAGCGTTCCTGTTTATGTTCATGAATGATGTGACAGCATTTCAGAGGAATGTCAATGTCTCCAGAGCAACACATGGACGTATGTTTGGAGAGGGAAAGGTGAAACACAAGAACGCTGCAGAGGAAACACCAACCCAGTGACTCGTATCCAAAACCAACTATTATCATTAATATCAGCAACCTTTCTTCTGTGGTTAAAACAACCCCAGAGAAATGGATGTTTCTTTAGTACATACAAAACTAAAAAGTACTACCCTATTTGTTGCTCAGAAATTGGACGAGGGGATTTAAGCGGCTCCCCATTTCTCTTTCTGGGGTTACTCCTGTAAACACATACAGCTCTGTGATGAATCTTGATATAAATCAACTAAGATCCTCCTGCTGGAGCTAAACCACGACTGTCTGACCCCATTCATTAAGATGGAAACATTATTTGCTGCAGGGATCTGGTTTCATGTTAGATTTAAAAAGCTTTCTAGCACCTGAGCCAAGTCTTTTCGACTATTCATGAACACTAATCACATGTGAAGGTTTCAGCACACTTACAGTTTTACCTAGCGTCCTCCAAGCAGAAAGCACCTCACAGCTTGAGGATGTGAGTGACTTTCAGAGGGTGTGAAAAGTCTCAGACTAGCTTAAAGAATGTTACAGAACAATCGGCTCGCGTTGTCCCTGCTTCCTGTTGAAAGAGGCTCACCTTGAAGCAGCGTTGTTGTTAAATACAGACAGGATGGATACACGGCAGGATCAAATTACAGCGGAAGACACTCGACTTTCACAAAGTTAAGATCAGAGCGTTTGAGACTCATTCACAGTGACTCAAACTCACTTCTGGGAGCCACCCTAACAGCACAGGCAAAATTTCCCTGACCACAGTTATATGTTGTTGTTTTTTAAAGGTGCGGGGACTAAAGACGTTAAAGACAACTTTGATAATTTGGTTAGGACTCTAACCGATCCTGGACATGTTTGCCCTTCTGACCTAAAAAACGACCAAAACACAGACCACAGGGAAAGCACAAGTTCATATTCATATCAGCACATTCACAACAAAGCTGATCTCAAACATGTAAAATGTCTATTTTATTGACACATCAGTGACTCTGCTTTAACAAGGTGAGGCAACCAGTCTTTAAGGCTTTAACGCAGTGAGCAGCTGTGAAATCAAATGAAAACAGGACTTTCTGCTGATGCTCATAAGCATCCCTGACTTCAGAATTGAATTTCTGCCGCAAAGTCGCAGAATGGTTTCCAGACTGAGGGCCCATTCAGCGCGCCTGCTGTCACACAGCGCTGCTTTGTTTCTGCAGAAACAAGGAGCATTGTGGACAAGGAGGCCATAAATAAACATACTGTTGACATACAGCCTCAGTTCTCATTAAAGCTGGTCACTGGATGCTCAGCATGGCAGCCAAGCAGCCGCCCGCTCCTCTGCTGATGAACCATGACTCTGTGCTGCTGCTGCTGCTGCTGACCTGGATGAAACACACTGCACACACACATGCACATGCAGTAGAAAAGACTCACAAACACGTGTAGTGATTCTCCTGCTCGTTTGCTAGTTAATGAGAAGTGACACCCAAATCTGATTCGATAACTTCACTCCCTCGTGTGTTAAAGAGATACAAGCAAAGCAGTATTTTTGCAAAACCTGCTCCCTTCAGGATAGAAAATAGTTGATGTGTGACTGCTAATCGGTGCGACACAAGAGAAAGTTTCTACGATTTCAAATGGATTTTCTCCCAAAGTCTTTATGTGTAGGATAGCATTAGATTTCATGAGACTTTGACACCAGAATCGTGGACTCTGAGATATTCTGGGGTTCCTTTGTTTTTGTTATCTGTGCCAGTTTTGATCAAGGATGGCTGCACATTACTCATGTGGCTGACCAACCTTCAGTTTCCAGCTGAGATTAGCCATGTGTCCAAGAAAAACTTCGGAAAATCCCCCCAAAATAGAAAAACTACACCAAGAAAATCAACATTTAAAAATAAAAAAACGACATCTGGGAGTAAAAGCCGGAAGGAGATATTGCACTCTTGGATAGCTGTGTCAATTTTTTTGTAACTTCTTCTAAACTGCTACACACCTTGATAATCACATCCAATTAGAGAAGAAATTTTAAAAAACTGGGGTTTTAAAAAATGGGGTTTTAACACAGCGGAGCATGAAGTCACACATCTAGGTCTGTTAAATCCTCATGAAGTTAAGTTAATGGCATTTACACCAAGCCTGTTAGAGTCATATCATATTGCATTTTCAGCCTGAAATGTGATTCCTAACTTCCACAGAGACGTCCCTCTAAAAGCAAAAGCGGATCTCAGACTTCTGGCTTAACTGTATAGAATCATCCCTGATGGGTTTAAAGGTCTAGTCCGTCATGTCTGGTCTACATGTGAGGCGTCACCATAGTGAAATAAAAAGATGGGTTGACCTTCACGCTCAGAGGGAAGTGATAGGTAATTAAATTAGCCTCCTCACTGCGGTGAAACCAATAGTGTCATGCTTGCGTCCATCCGTAGCAGCACCTGCACAAAAGCTTAGCCTCTCAGCCTGAAACAGGGGGGTGGCTAACTGTGGCCAACTGCAGAATCTGTTGTGACGACAGATCCCTTTTAGGGATACAGTGACGGGCTTTCCGTCACTCGCTCTCTCACTCTTTTCCTTCCTCTGACATCAGAGAGGGGGATTTTTCTACGTTCAACAGAAGGAGGAAAATACAGCCGAGGGCGGCGAGATGGGGGAGGACAAGAAAAACTTCCTAAGACGATGGCGATTTAACGACGAGCTTCAGGTAGAGCGCGTGTCAAAGATTGAGAAGGGAAGAGGGTGGATAAACACAGCAAAGAGCAAGACAGCAGGAGGGAGGGAGATGGAGCGAGGCAGCGCTCAGAGCTCAGGCATGAAAAAAAAAAAGAAAGGAAAAAAAGAAACTGCTGCAGTCAGGAGAATTCCTCACTAACATCTGCTTCTCATTCCAACAATGGCGGCCTTTGATTCCCGATGAACACAAACGCGCTGCGCCGACAACAACGTCTCAATGTGCCCGCAACCCTTTGTCAGAGTCCTATGAGACGAAGCAGCACGCGTGTGCTGTAACCTTCTTTATACTTTCCTGTCGGGACAACTTTTCAACCACTTCCTACGAGAAAAGGACAAATCGCTAATGACTTTATTAATAAAAGGTCCCGATGATGACACAAACTGACCTTGCTGACGTATTCGAAGGGTTCACATACAGAAGAGCGTAGCTTTTTATAAATAGCACTGACAGATTCAAGCAGGAACAGGTCCTCCCCTCCAGCAGTTCCCTGCCAAAAGATCAGTTTATTCAGCTTTTGAAAAACACTGCTGAGCCGACGCTTAGCTTAAATCACACCAGTCACGGGCTGGCAATACCCTCTCTGCTCACTTCAACCTGCTGATGCGCCGAATGAGGGCTGCCTTTTAAAGAACCGACTGGAAAGAGCCCACTGTTGGATGGGGTGTCTGACCACACAAAGCGCTACTTTGGGGTGGTCTAAAAACCTCCTCTGGGTTCTGACCGCCGTGTCTACTGGAAGCTGGTGCAAACAAATGACTCGACTCGACTGTAGCAGCTGACATGACGATCTGTCTGTCTGCTGATACCTGGATGCTTTTTTTGTTTGTTTGTTTAGCCTTAAATGCTAATAACACGCTGCTTGAGACACTGATTCCCATGATCCCCTGACCACGAGATCATCTAGGATATATTTGTATGTTGACTGTTGGTGCTCCTTGTGTTTTTCCACTTACAGGGAGGATTACGGCAAAAAAATGTCCATGGCCATGATGGTAAATCTAAACGTTGGAGGAGCACAACCTCTCATTAAAGCTTGATGATATTTGGAACGGGAATCATAGTAATTATCCACAACACTGACAGATCCAAGCTCCAGTGAATGACTTTAACTGCCACGTGAAGCACAAGCTACAAGTTCGCTCAAATAATTCAATGACATGAGAGTTAAATAGATGGATGTCCCCCTTGATCGAATGTCATGCTCATAAAAAACTGAAGGCCCGTACACAGAAGGGCACTGTAATGCCGTTATATAATTTAGGACTAGATGAGCTACTTATACCCAAAACGCAGTTTCCTTACCGAGCACAAATTACTTCAATTCAAAGTGGGGATGTTATTCTCCACAAGACGAACCATTTCAGTTTTAGATTTCAGTCCTTCACGTATCCGATGTCCAGGATTTATTCTGGATTTAGACACACATTCTTAACTGTTCTGGTCGAGCTGTATGTTGGCCGACTAAGTTTAAGACTCAAGTCAACGGCTCTCTGTGAAAATAGATGCAGACAGGATTACACGTTGACCTGTTTTACGACCTCTGCATCTCAACTCAAACTGGTCAACACAAAAAAACAAGCCGATTTAAAGTTTTGTCTGTGGGAATCTTCCATTCAAATGAAATAAACCCTTTGTGTTCGGCTGCAGCCACTACCTCCCAGGAGACAAACCTGTGAGGTGTGACAACATGGCTGTGTGTGACAACTCCTCCTGACACTTTATGAGCTAATCGGTTTCCTTGTGTTTATTAGACCCTGCAAGCCTAATCAGCGGGACAGAAGCCACCATAATGCTGTCTGCGTTGCTTTTTGCGTGGGTGAACTGTGACATCAGCACAGCAGAGTCATTATTTCTAAAAGGCGCACTGAACACTCATCATCCTAAACAGCAGGCACTGCTACAGAGAAAATGACTCCACAGAGGAGCAACAACGGCGCTAGAAGAGAGCAGACGCTAAGTTTGTT